TTTGTGCAGTGTCCTATGACATCTATGTACCAAGTTTTATTGAAATGTGATGATTAGTACTTGAGATATCAGTGGAAAAGCCGAAAATTGATTAATCATTATGCAAATTAGGTAATTAATATTGCACAGATTTTTACCCAAAACTAATCAAATCTGCGCATTAGTTTGGAGCATCTGTGTGCCAAGTTTCATCAAAATCCAATGAGTGGTTCTTTAGATATCAGTGGAACAGTCATAAAACAGCTAAAAATCAGCTAATTATCATGCAAATTAGGTAATTAATATGGTAATTTTTACCAAAACCTAATCAAATCTGCGCATTGGCCCAGAGCATCTATGCACCAAGTTTCATCAAAAACTGATGTATGGTTCTTGAGATATCAGTGGAACAGTCGGACACACATACACACACACACACATACACACATACAGACACACTAACTGCAAAGACTCCCTTTTTGTGCTTTGCACACGGGAGTCAAAAATGCCTCTTAAAAAAAAAAATTATTTTTCTGCTGGGATTATTTTTCACTCATTATAACAGAATGTTATACCATAGGCATTTATTGACTTAATTATTGTGCAATAGACCAATTTACTGGTTGTTATTTGACTGAGTGTGTGCTAGTCAATCAGCAATCTGATTAAAATCTGATGTAGTGTACGGGCTTTAATTATTTTGGCTATAAACTTATTTTAATTTTATTTTTTATTACTTTTGTTATTAATGCCTTTTTATTTTATTTTGATTTTGATTTTCTTTAATTCCGCCCTACATACATCTGATCCGACGCCTACGTAAGTCCCGTTCAAATCTCGCATAAGTAACAGCCAATCACAGGCTCCCTTTTATACAGGCTGTCGGTTGCTTACTTTTCAGTGTAGCGATACTCTACGGGCAATCTTTCTGTACATTATATTTTGCCCACTTGAATAAACCATTAATAGAACATTGCTAGTATATTTTTATTTACAAAAGAAATTCCACAGCATTTTACAATTTTT